ATCAGGCTATGATGCTGAATTACGGCTCATACTGAGTCAGGTCCACGTGTCATCGTTTTGTAGGTCGGGCCAAATCGTCCTCCATCAGGTTGGGCTGTGTTTATGGTCAATTCGGGCTTGACCCTAAATTTTGGACTTAAGGCCCAAGTTCGAATGGAGCCTGAATCAAGTCCAATTTTTCTAATCCAGGCCCAGCCCACACTATACTTTGATGCACTTGGATTGGGCTCGGGCCTACACCGAGCTGGGGTTACTCAATAAATTCACTCTAAAATTATATATATATATATATATATATATATATATATATATATTTTGTGATGTTCGTTTACTTTTTGAATGTGTTGAAGCAAAATTAGGTACCTGTCATTCTGTCAATGTTCAGAAAAGTTTCTTTACATTCCCCGCTCCATTCAAGAGATGTCATGTCAAATAGGAATTGGTTGGTGGTAACTCCTCTCATAGTTTCATTGCATGCATGCATATATGGGTTTCAATTGCAAACACTCCAGCTTGAGTTGGGAGGAGCATCGAGAAAGGACAAGAAGAAAATTAAGCTTAGTAGGCCCCCTTCTCTTGTATGGTAATAATTTGAGGTTAGCTGTCAGTTCCTTGAAGAACAAGTGCAATTTGAACGGCTGAAACACTAATTCCAGTAATGCTCACTTCTCGCATGTGGAGTGGCCTCTTGTCAAAGTGCATGAGCCTTTACACAAATGTCACAACTGTATGAAATCAGTGTAGCAAATTACAAGGTTTTAGCCTTTTAGAGACATGGAGAGTTCAAAAAAGCTATATATGGATAAATCAAAAGGTATATATTAGTATTGGGTTTTTGGTTGTCTAGGGTTTTAAAATACCTCCAATAGACAATGAAAGCCACTGAATTGATAAATCTAGCTAGGGGTTATAAAGAAGAAAAGTAAAGATAGTTTTCATGACTTATTGGCCAACATTCTTGAGTTGATTGTCTCCAAATTTAGGGTCCGTTTGGTTTGTAGGAATAAGGGTCTTGAATCAGAATCGGAATAGTCTATTTTGATTCCAACTGTTTGGTTGGACGGAATCGGAATTCCATTCCCATTCTTTCTGGAATGGCATTTCTTCATTTGAGGGAATGGCCACTCTCTGCCCCTTTATTGGAAATAAAATCTCATTCCTGATGATTTTAATTCTCATTCTCATTCCTGTCTAAATCAAACAGATTATGGGAATAGATCATTCCAATTCCGATTCCGATTCTGACTACAAACTAAACGGAACCTTAATCAATTGGGTAATTCCTTATCTTAATCAAATTCTTGGCCAAAAGGATTAATCAATAAGCCTCCTGGGTCATCAGCCTCCTCAATCCGAATGTTGAAATGTATTGAATTCGAATGCCATTATTGATGAGTTAATTAAACATGGCAATCAATGCATGTATGAAACAGAACAATTTTCTCTTAGGTTAACTATTGGAATTCATTCAGCTATGATGGCTAAGCAAATCCCATATCTGCTAAGTAATCAATCACTATTAAATCTAGGCAAGAGTTCAGAGGCTATATGTCCTCCTGGTGTAGCAGCCATGTATGAAAGGCAGCCAAAGAGAATGGAAGAAAACCCCCCATTTGGATTGTCCAAATTTGTGTCAAGATACAATAATCTTGGAAATAGTCCTGGAGAGAATGAAGAAATCTAAAAGGAAGAGCAGTCAACCACTGAAATTCTTCTGCTATCAGAATAGAACTTGAAAATATATTGAATTATTTTGCACTTGAAGACAAATGAAGCAGTCATCTGCAAGTTCAATATTTTTCATTGGAGTGCTTTAAATAATAGTCACCATAGAGTGCTCCACAAGAAGACTCCTGTTCTAAATCCTCTGCAGCATGAATTCACTACACTGATTGGTCTTGTTATGTAATGGAGGCAAATCATCTTCTCTGTTTTGATTTCTCTTCATGTCAGTGTACTGATTTCGACTCTCAATAATTGCAGAGATAAAAACAAAGGGAAATATATAAAATAGTGCACAGAGTCCACTTCAAACTTCAAAGGTGACAGCTCTCCCAGGCCCAGCCATGCCACTTTGATGGGTTAAGACTTAAAGATCTCCATGACTGCTACTTCTAAAATTTATTAATTTTCTTCCTTGACTCTCAAGTTTCAATTAGTGCAGCAGTTAGAGCAAAAAAGAAAATAAAATAACCCTAATGCAGTTATACCTATACAACCCTATTAATGCCTCTATTAAAAAGTTAACAATGATGTGATATGAGTATCAATAAGTGACTGTGAAAGATCTGTTCTTTCCTTTCTTATTCTTCTCTTTACTACATCATTCATGTTTTGTTTTGTTCTTATTCACATAAATTAAACCCATATCTTTTTCACTATGGATATGATGAAAATCATTGTTTAAAGTATAATAGGGGTGTCAATTGGACTGCTGGATTTGATGCAATCTGATCCACTCCAATGTGAGTCCATTACAAATGGACCAGGTCCAGTCCAATCCAATGACTATTTTGGATCATTTTGAACTGGTCCAATTCAATGTTTAGAGCATTCAATATATTCAAATTTGTTTTAATTAGATTAATTCTAACCCAAACTTAATCCATTGACACTTTTATTCTTATCTTCTATCAATGGACCAGATATTGGTTCAATCCAATCCAATCCAATAAAATTCATTATGGATGGATCAGGTTCAATCCAATCCAATAAATACTTTGGACCATTAAGTTTGAACTGGTCCAATTCAATATCTCTTCTTGGTCTGTCCAATTCGTCCAAATTGATTTTGGTTTGGATGGGGTCCAATCCAAAACCGGTCCATTGACTCTCCCCTACTTCCTAATATATCTATTTTTGAATTATCAAACTGGAAAAAAAAATAAAAAAGGTATTTCAATTGTTGAAAACTCTGAATTACATATTCACAGTATATATTGATACTTCGAAATATGAACTAAATATGGTATTGAAAACAAAATTTACACTAAAAATTGAAGTATAACATATGAAACAATACCCTTATACGGGTATTTGGGTCTAATAACCCAAAAAATAAAAAAATAAAAAAATAAAAACTCCTTTCTCTACCAGTATCATAGGACCTAGTTTGTTTGGTCTTGCTTTAAGGAACTAAATCCCATCCTCTTGTCGATGTTTGGCGAGAACACAAAGATAGACTTTATTTAGATGTTTGGTATCGTACTGTTGTATGTGTATTGTGATTCTGTTTGTTTGACACACAGAATTGCTATATTGATGTTTATGCTTTAATATAATCTTATTTGATGGGCTGATTAAGTACAAAAGATTTGCACTTTTTTTTTTATCTTAGGTCATGTGGAAATCACTTTTAAAGATTTTTTTTATCTCGATTTATGTGAAACTTAGGGCTCATTAGTTTTGTGGGAATAAGGGTTTGGAATCGGAGCCGGAATGATCAATTCCCAATTCAACTGTTTGGTTGGCGGAATTGAAATCCTATTCCAATTTCATTCCTTGATTTGAGGGAATGATCATTCTCTCCCCTCCTTTGAGAATAAAATCTCATTCCAACTTATTCTAAGTTAATTCAGATTTAATTTTTGTATGAATCAAACAAATTATGAGAATAGATCATTCCAATTTTAATTTCAAAGAATTTTGATTATAATTTCGACTCTAAACCAAATGGACCTTTACTTTTAGAGGAACCGTCATCTTGACATTTCCATATTGTTGTGTGTCTGTTTTTGTCTATGTGACACCTAGTGACACCTAATTACATTTATGTATAATAAAACACAATAAACAATTGCTGTAGTTCATGTCAAGGTCGTTTTCTCTCAATTTTCAATGCATAAATGCAACCAACATCGTCTAAGTAGGTGTTTGGGATTGATGCTCTTTCCTTAGAAAACAGTTTCACATCATAAATCTATCTTCTAAGAAAACGCTTGTTGTTTGATTAGCCATTTTTTTTAAAAATTGGGAAAGGTGTGGTCTCAAAAATGTATTTTTTTGTTGTTTTCCATTTTTTCTACTGTTGTTTAATAATGTGCTGATGTGGCATTGAAAAATATATATATATATCAATAATAGCAATGATACCAAATAGAAAACATGAGAAAATATTTTCTCAATAACAATTTCTAAACAACAGCTCCCAGAAAACGACATCAATCCCAAACACCGCCTAAATAACCTAGGCACTAATCATGAACCAGCAACCCGATGGACTTCCGGGGACCCAGCTTTTGATGATTGTTATCGGCTGAACAATTGAACCATTGATTAAATCTGTATAAACCCGTTTTATGTCCGGTCCGATTCTGATTTCTGACAGCCTTGTTTGTTGGTTGTTACCCAATACCCAGTCGATGCCTGAACAATTTGGTAGCTGAGTTAGATTTGGGCCTCGGGGAAATTCCAGAGTGGGCTTCATTGATTGAACGGTCCAAAAAAAGTACCATCCAATCATGATAATTTCCCCCTGATATTTATACATGTTGGCCACTTTGGAAGAATTTAATTAGATTGTACGGTCGTGATCATCCCAAACTGGCCCCACCCTATCTGTCCCTACATGAAAGTACGGGTCAAACGCGTTACTAAAATCCAAGGTGGGCCTCCAAGCCCTCAAAAGTCCATCTTCCACGTAAGCCCACTTACAACTCTCACAATTCGTCAATCCCCAAATTCCCATAAACAGCAAACGATTACAACCTACGTACCCCTTGTCGGGTAACGGTGTCATTTCTTTTGAACACGTGGGCCCAGAGAAAGGTGAGATCAGGGACACGGTATCACATGCATGTGGGCCACGTGTCAAGATCCAAAAATCATAGAAGTTGACATTAGAGTAACATGCTAGGGTCTAAAAGGCTAGAAAGCTCGTCTCCAGATGTCACCAAATGGGAACTGTCGGTGAGAAACTAGGTCAGAGTCGTAATTTCGGGGGACAACCAGGGGCAATTGTAGTCACCATGGTTTCTGCATCAAAGAATACATAATCATGGCCGTCTTCAATCTTTTTCTCCCCGCGGCTTTGAACGCGGCAATGGTTTCGGGTTCCACTTTTCTTTCGGGAAAAAGACTTTGCTTTGGATTCGCCAATCGGGATTTGATTTCTCCGCAAATTAAAAAGACTGCAATCTTTCTTGAATCGGACAATTCGAAGCAATGGCGGAAACAGCTTCAAGTAAGTAAATTCAAATCCTTCGTTCTTCTCTTTCTTTTGTTTAGGTTTGCAGTGTTGACTGAGAAGTAAGTGAATGGATTTGCAGAGTAGAAGATGTTGAGTGCGGAATCTGGAGGGACTAATGGAGAGAAGGTCTGAAGGATTGAGCTTTGGGAACTAGATTCCAACTGGAGATGAAATTCTTGTACAGGAAGAAGAAGCGGAAAACTGAGCCAGAGATCAGAAGGGAAAAGGAGGAAGAAGAAGGAGGAGGAGGAGATTGTTCGATTGGGTGAAATTAGAGAGATCTGCAGAGGTTTAGGTAGTGAAGAGTAAATAAGAGGAATAGAAGGGAGAAGATGCAATTTCATGCTTCGACGGGGACGAAGAGAGTGACGATATCGAATGGAGGCGGAGCAGGAGGGGGCTGCTTCTGGGAAGTGATGAAGGTGAAAGGATCAACGCGCCGATTTTCTTACCGTTCCGTTTTACCGACGGTGATACTTCTGGGGGTTATTTTACCCTTTCTCTACATCCGAACTGCATTCCTTGCTCTGGATTCCACCTCGTTCTGTTCTTCTCTCGGTAAATTAATTCTTTCCCTCTTTTCAATTTCATGATCAGTGCTACTAAACTACGAGCTCTGCAACTCTTGCATTTCTTCGCCCTACGGACATGGTGCAACCTCCGAGAGCTGCATAAGCTCGGCTGTTTACTAGAATTTGGTTTAATTTTTAACCTCGGCGTTGATGTCTGGTGGTGCAGCAGATTGTATAAGGTGGAGGTTGGGACCTACGCTATTCGGCGGGAGAGAATCTTCACCGGTAATTTCCTTCTCTAATGACTAAAATGCCATCAAATCCTTCCAAACACCTGAATTGGTGAGCTGGTTTAGCAAAGGTGTTTTAGTCTTTTAGAAATTTGAGACTGATTTCAAACTCTAAGCTCTTGGTTGGTTACTATGAAGAGGCCACGTGGCAAGTTGTGTTCTAATTTCTAAGCGGATTATAATAGTAACCACTAACCTCGTAGGACTTGACTGGTCATCGGCCGATCGGCGTATAGATAGAAGAAATATAAAACTAACTTTAATCTGCCGACGATTTGGCACTTTCGACGTAACGTAATAAATGCTAGTACAGCTTTTCTGAGTTCTGACACATTTTGGTCTCCAAAACTTCATTTTCTTTACGTCGACACGGATTGGATTGGAGAATAGACGTTACTGAAAAACTTGTCCTCTTTACAGGATAAGAGGAACCGTTGAAGTAACGTGGGGTTTTTTTTCATGTGATGTACAGGAGCTCAGGGAAGAGCTGTTGACAGCGTTGATTGAAGCAAGAGATGAGGGAGAAAGAGGAGGAGCAGGAGGAGGAGGAGGAGGAGGAGGAGCAGGGATGCAAGGTGGGTCTGTATCATTCAACGAGCTGGTGATGGAAATGACGTCAAAAAGACCAGACATCAAGGGCTTTGCCTTCAAAACCAAGCTCATGGTCAGTAGTACTGTGACACTTCTTTGCTCTTGTTTTGATTTGCTACCATGCTTTGTCTTGTTTGTATAATCCATAGACCATAGTTAGGGTTTTAGGTTTTTAGAATTGATCTAGATTCACAGAAATTGTCATCAGGCCAACTTGGCATCTGGAAAGAAAAGGAGCGCTAGTGGGTGGGCTTGTATTGTTGATGAAATAATTGGATTTGCATGAGAGAGGCATGTGCAAGAAGTGCCCGGCCCCATCTCTTTCTCTCTTATCCTGTCTTTTGTTTTTATTTACAGAGATAGTTGAGCCTGAGGTTGGGTCGCTGTCCGTTTCCCTACCCTTCCCTAGGTGCGTTAATTTTGGTCCCATTTTAGGCATCATCTTCTGCACAAATGATAGCTAACCATTTATTTTTTACTTTATCAGAAACAATAAATCCGTTTGTTGAATTACTAATCTACACTCATGTGGTCAATGATGGTATAGAGGGGAGAGAATTCTGTAGAGTCTATATGCCATTCGTTGCTCATTCCTTTAATTACTTGCTTGTCATTTGATGTGACAACCCAAAAGGCAGATTGATTTACTACATCGCTTCAATTGGTATGGCTTTTGGTTTGATTAATTAATTGAGGGTTGGTTCGGTCTAACTTGTAAGCATGATAGCTGGCTTACATCGTGACATCCAACATACAATTAAGGCCCTTTAAGCCAATCGGTGGGCCACCATGGTTGGAGAGATTGATTGCCATGTCGGGGTCAACAAAGTATCACTCGTTTTTGGATAGACCGAGGGGAGTTGATCATTAATGGTGCTTAGTGGGGGGGAGAGTGAATACTCTTTGGTCTTATTATAACTAAGGCCCGTGGCAATTGCTAGTACACCATATGAAGGTGAGCCTTCTTATAAATTACACAAGACAGACAGAAAGATTGATTCTCTAGGTGATCCCATCCATCTATCGGATGTTGTCTACCTTGTGATGCATATATTTGCTTCTTTTACATGTTTTATATTCCTTTAGTGCGGCACTGATGCTTTGACAGTGTCGCGTTGTGCAATATAGTAACTACTATCTTTAATTGCACGTTCCTTTCCTTTCTCATATTATCAAACACCAACCTTGTTAGTCCTGTACTGCAGCTGATGAAAATGGAGCGCAAGGTCCAACTAGCCAGACATGAGGAATTGATTTACTGGCATTTTGCTTCATATGGGATCCCCAGAAGCATTCATTGCCTGTGCCTAAAGCTTGCTGAAGAATACTCTATTAATGCTTTGGCCCGAGCTCCACTGCCACCACCAGAGTTGGTGTCTTGTCTTGCTGACTATTCATACTTACACATTGTTCTCCTAACTGACAACATTCTGGCTGCCTCTGTTGCCGTATCCTCGGCTATCAAAAACTCGGCCCATCCAGAAAAATTTGTGTTTCACTTGGTCACTGATAAGAAGACTTACGCACCAATGCATGCGTGGTTTGCACTCAATCCTGTAGCTCCAGCAGTGATTGAGGTCAAAGGGTTGCACCAGTTCGACTGGCCTCATGAAGTAAATGTTGGAGTAGAAGAGATGTTGGAGATACATCGCTCAACTTGGAGCCGTTACTATTATAACAGCCTAAGAGAAGGAAGACGCAAGGAGTTTGAGGAAGGAGAATTGACCAGAAGATTAGATGCCTCGAGACCCAGCAGCTTTTCCCTCTTGAATCATCTGAGGATTTATCTTCCCGAGGTGAACAATAATACTTATTCACTTTTTTTTCTTCGTTACTTGTGCATTTACAATTAGTGATTGATGGAACTTTGAATCCCATTGTCTTCAGCTGTTTCCAGAGCTTAAGAAGATAATATTCTTGGATGACGACGTTGTAGTACAACGTGATTTATCACCTTTGTGGGAACTGGACCTCAACGGGAGAGTTATTGGTGCAGTTGTTAACTCGTCAAGTGGAGAGGGAGAAAGTGAGAGAAACCACTGTTCTCCAGGAAGGAGATATGGGGATTTCTTGAATTTCTCAAATCCATTGATATATTCAGAGTTCGAATATGATCATTGCGCATGGTTGTATGGCATGAATGTGTTTGATCTCCAAGCATGGAGGGGGACCAGCATCACAGAAAAATACCACCACTGGCTTAAACTTGTAAGTAATGGATTGAGGAACTACTCATGGCTCGGTTTAATCATCAGTTTGTGAAATGAAACTGTCCATGTCCATGATTAGCATGCTTTAATTTGTTCCTTGTAGCAATAAGACTGATTTGCTTAATATCAATGACCAAACCTGCAAAACAATAACATCATTCATGTCTGTGGAGTCGTCTCAGAAGTTAATTTACTCTGCAACTCTAAAACATGTATGCATTACCTCTGTGTTAATTTGTTTTGTATCACTGGACAGAACCTCGATTCGGGCTTCACACTTTGGCGTCCAGGAGCGCTTCCACCTGCCTTAGTTGCTTTCCAAGGCCATGTGCACCCGATTGACCCTTCATGGCACATGGCTGGATTGGGTCAGCAACCATTTGAAGTCGGATTGAGAATGTTGGAGGATGCTTCTGTCATACACTTCAGTGGCCCTGCAAAACCGTGGCTGGATATAGGATCACCAGAGCTGCGGAATCTGTGGAATATATACCTTAATTTTTCTAGTGACTTCATAAGAGACTGTAAAATTATAGAGTGAAGAGAGCAAAGCTCTCCTCCTTTCTTACATGTGTATATTGAGCAAAGCCGGAGGTGCAATATGATCAGAGGGAAGAAGGTTTTGCATTCAGTCTCTGCTCAAATGTACCTTTGGTGATGAGAGTTTATTTTTGCTCATACTGTATGTATTATATGGTAGATACTATATTTACGTACCAAGGATTAATTATAGAAGTAAATTAGAATTTATACTCAGCTCATTTGCACCCCCATGCATTTACACTGGTGCAAATGAAAATTACACTGCAAACAAACAGAGCCTGAAGTTCTCTTTGGGACTTGTTAGTAAAGTTTTTGTATGATCTCAGTAAATCTTTTGGGAGGACAATTGGTGGGGAAGTCTTTATTCATAAAAGAAAAAAAAAAAAAAAGAACATTTGGAGGACCCATAGCTACCCTCCGAGAATTTGAATCAACAAGCCCGAATGGCGGACTAACTCGGGTGGGAAGGCCTCAAGGAGCCAAAAACAAACTACTCCTATTCAGTATCACAGTACTTGGCAAAAAAATCAGCCCCTCTATAAATATATATGCACAAAACGGATCTCCTCAAACCCGGTTTTTAGAAACATGATCACAAAAAGCTGCCACCAAGCCACACATGGCCAAAACAACAACCAGGGGCGGAGGCAGGATATATGGGTGGGTAGGTGGGGAGAGGGGGGATGAGGGGGAGGGGTTGCTCCGCCAAGGCCTCCCCCTAGCTCCGTCCCTAAGAACAACCAATTGCTGAAATGGTAACCTTTGATGGGACTGGGATTTCTGTTTTTGGGCTTCCCCCATCCCCTTAACCCCCAAACCTTGCAGCGAGATTTTATCCCAAGTATGGGTGCCAATTGGACTGGATTTGGTACAATCCGGTCCAGTTCAGTGTGACAAATGGACCAGGTCGAATCCAATCCAGTTAATATTTTGGTCCATTGTCACTTATATTCCGATCTCTTATCAATGGACCAGATATTGGCTCAATCCAACACAATCCGATATAAATTCATTATGAATGACCAGGTTCAATCCAATCCAATAAATACTTTAGACCATTGAGTTTAAATTGGTCCAATTCAATATGTCTTGTTGGTCTGTTCAATCTGTCTAAATTGATTTTAGTTTGGACGCAGTCCAATCCAAAGCGGGTCCATTGATGCTCCTAATCCTAGGTCTTTGGGAACAACACGTGAGAGATCCAATCATTTGAGCCACCATAAGTTGGTTTGAGAATTGAGAGTTAGAGTTGAAGAGACCTTTGAGAGATCTTGAAACAATGAATTGCTTCCCTTACTTAGAATTAAGGGTGATCATGGGCGGGCAAGGTTTAGCATCTGTCATAAGGGCTATAGCCTAGGGTGAGGCCTGATTATGGGCCTACCAATTTTATGTATAAAATATTGAATCATATAATATTTTGCATTATATGTCATATAATGTGTAAAAAAATTATTTCATACATTTTGTAATATAAAATATCATATATAATATGCATTATAAATGCCATTTTATAACATTTATATATATAATATAAAGTATAACATAAAACAACATATATGAATATGTATAAATAATTTAAACAAGCCTGTGTTGTGTGCCCAGGCCAGGCCTTGAAATTTGTAGCTCTAATGCGGGCTTGAGCCCTGGCTAGGTTGAAAATGGTCATCCTTATCATAATCCAAGATGTCAACTTGGTTCCTTTGGGGACCAATGAGAAGTAGGGTCAATTGTTAAAAGCAGCTTCACTTTTTTTTTTTTTTTGTTAAATGTTAAAAGCAGCTTCACTTGTGCATCTTTTCTTAAAACACCATTAAATGTGTGTGTGCTTTGATCTGATAATTTTAGATGATGATGATAGCAATAATATGTATCCAATTTTTTTTATAATTTTTATATTTTTATTTGTATAAAATTTATTTTTTATTAAACATTTTTGTATATATGTCCAATGTTTTCTACTTAGTTTTTACATTCTTTTCAATTTATGTTTCTTATTTTTTAAAGTTCATTATTTATGACACAAAGGATTGATACATTTGACCCATAAGGTTGAACTATTGACCCACCACCAAATACAATTTCATTTTATATCAGTTTTAAATTTTGCACTTCATTTTCATCATCAATAAAACTACTCTTGTTTATCACATTTATTTTTCTTTAATATGATTAATATAAAATGTTAAAGATGTGACAAATATTTTCTATAATTTTTTGTATTTATTTCAATTTTGAAGTTTAATTATTTAGCTAAGACATCATGAGTTGACCAATTTGACTGAAACGGAAAAACCATTTGGTAACTTTCAAAAATAAGGGATATTGGTAGATTTAGAAAACATGGGATTTTATTATTATAATTTTTGAATATAAATCTAATTATTATGATTTATTGGGGAGAACAAATATCTTAAATATAGGATTTAATATGAGAAAATGGGAGTTAATGCCTTAAATAAGACATTTTTTGAAAGTGCTAAAGCACAAAAACGTTCATCTCGTTGAAAAATCAGCAGTTAGAGCATTAACAATGAAGTCCGGGTACAGATACGAGAAGGAGTCATAGCAAATAGAGCCAAAGTGTGAGCCACTTGATTTGTCATTTGCTTAGCATGGTTGATTGAGATGAACGAAAGGCTTGTCAAAAGACTCCTACAATTTGCAATCACTGTATGAATGCGCCACGGTGGAGTTAAAGATTCCACCAACAAAAGATTTGTTACTTGTAAAGCCATTGCCTTCAATAATAACCGGATTAAAGTGAAATTCGACAGCAAATTTGATCCCAAGGAAGAAAGCCATTGCCTCCACTTCTAAAGATGTGCTATAAGGAAGAGGAATTGATGGAGAGTAAATATGGTGGTTACCGCAATAGCTTTTCCTCTCCACTGTCCAAAAGTTGCTTCCATTAGAAAGGTATTTAGCTGAGATTACCTTCACCCACAATGCCTCATGCTAGGTGCAAAAACGCCAACAAAGTTTTGTAACTAGGGCTTTGTTTCTTCAATTCTGCCCAGATTTACTAGACTTAGGCCCCCATTTTCTTTTGGCTTTAGAAAGGTGGCCCAAGCTTTTAGATGTGGTTTCTTTTTACTTTTTGTACTAGTAGAGGGGGCCTTGTGTTGTAGGGGCTCGCTCATTAACTATTAGGCTCGAGTTCGATTCGAATTAGAGACTTGAGCTCAAACTCGAGATCGGCTCGAGTCAAAAGCTTGGAAGTTCGAGCTTGGCTACCTTTGATTACAGGTCTCTCAAAAAGCCGAGGTTTCGAGCTGAGGTTTCGAGCCGAGGTCTCCCTTAGCTATTGAAGTGTCGAGTTGAGGTTTCCCTAGCAAGCGAGGTGTCGAACTAAGGTCTCCCTTAGTTGACAAGGTGCCAAGCTAAGGTCTCCCTCAATTGTCAATGTGCTGAGTCGAGATCTCCCTCAGTGACCGGGATGTCGAGCCGATGTCTCCCTTAGTTGTTGAGGTGTCGTCTAGTTCGAGCTCGATTCGAATTAGGGACTTGAGCTTGAGTTCAAAAGTTCGAGCTTGGTTTGGCTCGAACTCAACTACCTTTGATTGCAGGTCTCATAGTAGTTGAGATGTCAAGCTGAGGTTTCCCTCAGTTGGAGAGAGAGTGGCATTCTTGTAATTTATAAGGAGAGAGAGAGAGAGTTGGTAGGAGATAGAGTGGCATTCTTATAATTTGAAAGAAAAAAAAGCAAGAGAGAGAGAGAGGGTTGATAGGGGAGAGTGGCATTCTTGTAATTTGAAAGAAAAAAAAAACAAAAGAGAGAGAGTTGGTAGAGAGTGGCATTCTTGTAATTTCAAAGAAAAAATGCAAAATATACTATTAGATTCCATTTCCCTCATCCTCAAGCCTTCTTACGTACACATTTCATCTTAACATATTTATATGGATCACCCCACCAAAATTTATTGCACAGATTGTTGATTTCATCACGGATAGCCTTAGGTAATAATGGGGTAGTCTCAAGGGTAGTTTTTATCAATACTATACACCCCGCTTGTGATAGTGTATGTGACTTCTAGCCTTTATAGCTTGTTTTTCACTTTGTCCACCTCATATTTCCAATCTGCTGTTTTAAAGCAAAAGGAGAATAGTTGCCTGCCCAAATATTTATCATTAGGCTTCATGAGTTTTATGCCCATTTTTTGTGCAATCTACTCCTTGACCTGCCTTAAATAAGACTTAATGAGAGGGAATTAAATGATGAAAATAATACTTCAAATTACATTTTCTATCCTTACAATTACAGAGAAATCAAATTCAAGAATAGGGGTATTTTAGTCAAGAAAAAATTCACATGCTCATTCCTACATTTAATAGTAGTATAGATATAGATATAGGGTCCGTTTGGTTCGTAGTTGGAATCAGATTTCGAATTAGAATCAAAATCCCATTGGAATTGGAATCAGAATAGTCTATTCCCATAGTCATTTTGGTTTAGATAGGAATTAGACTAAGCTGGAATGGAATTTCATTCCCAAGGGAGAGGGAGGGAATGACCATTCCCTCAAATGGGGGAATGCCATTCCAGTAGGAATGGATTCCACCCAACCAAATAGTTGGAATTGGAACAACCTGTTCCAATTCCGATTCCAGACTACTATTCCCCATTTTCCTGCTAAAGAGTTGTGGTTCAAGTCAATCTCTTTCTCTCTCAATTTTTTATTTTGTTTTATTCCATGTCATTTTTAGAAACAACCAATAGATAAAGAAAGAATTGCTTTTGTCATGTCTAGCCACGTGATACCACTATCCCCTTTACTATAGTCCCACTCCATTTCCCCTCTTCTCTCCTCCACTTTTCTATATAAAAAAAAAAGGAATTGTTTTAAGAAACTTTATCTCCAACAAAGCACACCCATTAATAATAATTTTATATTTTATAAAATTAATGATGAAATTATGTAATAAAAATAAAAATTATAATTTTATGGATTATCCAATAATTATGCATAAATCTATTTTTAATAATTATATAAAATATGTGAAAAATACTACTACCTTCAGAAGATAGAGGATGAAGTAGTAGTGTGGGAGTTATAATCCCAAAGGAGAATTTTCAGTTAAATCAGCTTATGCTACTCTTAATGCAGAAGGAGAAACTAATGAAAATTCACAAACGAATTAGTAGAAAAATTAATCGTATCATATGCC